AACCTCTGTTTTATAACACATACTTATTTTTAATTCAATTCTGCTTGGTACATTCCCTTAAAATACATACTAAATTATTAAAAGAAATATATATATATATGTATGTATGTATGTATATCTGTGTATATATGTATAACAATAGTAAATGGAATAATTATTCAAGTATAGCTCTGCCATTAATATTAATATCAATCTTTTACATTTCTATTTCTTTTAACAAACATTACCTAGTAATATCAGTTGTCTTTCACTTTAATCATCTATATTTCATATTTTATTTATTACTGTCTTTAGATAAAAAAACAATAGTTATTAACAGTAGTCAATAAAGTTATTATTCTTATTCAAGTTCATCTTGTCAACTGATAAAAATCTTCCATGTTTCTTTTCAGTTTTTTTAAAACTTTCTTTTTAAATCATTGAGAGACTTATTCTCTTTACAAACAAATATTCCACTATACATCAATAGAAAGTTTTTCTATCACTTTAATCATCTAACATATTTTCTAACCCTTTTCTATTTCTAATATAACAATGCTATCCCATGCACCCTTGCAGAATCTTCTCCTTAAGTTAAATTTTAACCATTGCCTCTGTGTCTTTTAAATAGGTTTATACCTTTAATTCTTGTACGTTTTTCCTGTACCTCTATATCTTGTTTCTGTCTTTTGTAGCTTCTTTTCCTTTCCCTCTTCCCTCTCTTCTTCTCCCTCCCCTTTTTATTCCCTTTTCTGATTCTCCCTTCTGTGATCCTCCCTTCTGCTTCTTCCTGATATTATGATTACTTTTCAAATTACTCTTTTTTTGGGGTTGTTGCTTCAGTGCTTAAGTTTTTAACTCCCTTTCCCCCCCTTTCCCTTTTTTACGCCGCTTAAAATTGCTTGGTCATTAAAGATGGCTTTTTCGATGTCTCGCCCTTCCTGTTCTGCCAGCGTTTCTTGTTGTTTTGCATAGTTCAAGATCTCCATTTCTAAAAATTGAAATACGAAGCCAAAAGATCCTCTTCTGTCTTGTGCTTCTTTTTGTTCTTTAAATCTCATTTTTAACTCTTCAAGGAGTGATGCCATTTAAAAAAAAATTTAAACAACCCCCAATTGATTTTATTTTATTTCATTAGGATCCTCCATTCAAAGTTCCAGGAATCATCCAATAATCCAAAACTGTTTCTTACTTCTTTTCTCACTTTCTCTTTCCAGGGGCTTTGTTATCTCATAACAAAGTTTCAGCTACAATGTATCTTTTGCAAGCCTTGTTAAAATTCCACTATCATTTTTTTTTTAAGTTCCAGGTGGTCTCCTCCATTTTCCAGATTCCACCCTCTTTTTTCCTTTCTCCCTCCACTGGTTGCTTTCTTTTTTTAAAGAAAGTTTTTAAATTATCCAAGAATCTTTATCGCTTTGACACTTTATTTTCAGCTAGAAATAGCCTATTAATGTCAAAGTGGATTAGTATCAATTTCTTATTCGAATCTCTTCTTAATGTTCCAAGTCAGTTAAAACTGTTGGTGTTAGAGGAAAAAAAGCCAATTCCATTTCCTTTCCCTTTCTCTTTCGCAGCTTAAAATCTTTTTTAGGAGTAGTATTAGTCTTTAAAATTCAGGTTCTAGGTACATTAAATAGATGTTCTCCATTCAACCTGGTCAGTCAAAGTTTCTCCTTTAAACTTCCTCCTGCACAACCTTGTCCGGTCGGGTTCTTTTTTGAGGTGGCCATTTCTGACCACCACTGCAACCGCCTTTGGGAAAGGGAGTAATGGCCAGCCGAGGAGGAGAGATGCGATTCTCCTCAACCCTGCTGATGGCTCCCCCTTCTTCACCACCTCTATGGGGTGGCTTCAGCCCCGAATCCGGGTGGCTCAGGGCGCTCCAGCGATGAGCACAGATCAAAACCGCGGACGATTGTGATTTCAGTCCATTGTCAAAAAAGCCCAAACTGGAAGTCCTCATTTTTCCATATTTCTCATAAAAGTTTTAATAAAGTGAACTCTGGTGGGTGCATATATTATAAGTTTATCAATAGTCAGAAAACCTGTTTATTTAATTAAACATATTTTATATAAAATATAGCTCCACTGATTACAAGTTGTATATAGCAATTAGATTAAAATATCATACATTGAAAACAATGCTACAATATATAAATAACCACATATTGTCCTACCATTTTCCCCTGAAAATAAGATCGGGTTATAGATATATACACCAACAGATACATTAGGTCTTATTTTCAGAGGATGTCTTATTTTGCAGCCATGTGCCTGCTCCCTCCCCACCATCTGCTTGCCCATGGCCACAGCAGCTTACAGGGCTTCCCAGGGCACTTTTTGCCTGGATGGAGAAATGACAGAGACTGGAAGCTTCATCTGCTTACAAATGGTGCTCTTTGAAATGGAGCAATTAGCTCCGTTTCAAAGCACCCCATTTGCAAGCAGGGGAAGCTTCGTCTCCCTCCGGTGGAAAAGTGTTTGGGTGCCTATGGGGCATTTGGGAATGGAGCAATTTGCTCCATTCCCAAGCACCCCATAGGTACCCAAACACTTTTTACCTGGATAGAGAAATGACGGACATTGGAAGCTTTGCCTGCTTGCAAATGGGGCACTTTGAAACGGAGTGATTAGCTCCATTTTAAAATGCCCCATTTGCAAGCGGACAAAGCTTTCAGTATTCTTTTGGACAAAAAGTGCATGGTGGAGCCAGAGGCATGGGGGAGGTTGGTGATCTCAACATGCCCATTCTGTCTCACTATCTGTCGGCTTGACCGTGGCTGCGCCGGAGCAGGTATCTGCGTGGGGCATTGGGAACACTTGCCTCCCCTGTACCTCTGCCTTCACCTGCTGCCTGTGCCACTGCACAAGTCTCCCACAAGCCTCTTGTGAGCCAGGCAGCCAGGCAGCACGTCTGGATTTCCTGTTTTCCCCTGCCTCTGCCTCCATACCTGAACTTACCTGCATTGTGCCAAGGTGTTGGTTGGCTGCGGCTGCTGCCAGACACCATTGGCCCCTGCATGCTCGCTGCATCTTGTGCTGGCCATGCTCATTCCCCAGGCTTATTTTTAGGGTAAAGCTTATATTAAGCCCATCCCCAAAATCAGGCTAAGGCTTATATTTGGGGTGGGTCTTGTTTTCTGGAAAACATGTTATAGACTTTGCAGTTCACTCAGAAACAGTAAATGAACGGAAGAACCAGCCTGTAAATGTTTGTTCAAATCATATTCTCTTAACAGCCAAGCACAAATCCAGGAAAACCAAGTGCCAGCTGTTTTTCACTTGAAGGAGGCAGTTCCTAAAGAATCCTAGATCTTAGTCACATAAAGCTTTGTATGAAAAAATAACGTTTTCAATTGATGTCAACTTATTGGCAACAAATGTAGTAATAATAGTTATCAGACACAGTAGACACTTTTATCTGCTAATATCTTGGCCATTGTGTTTTGTACGAGTAGAAACTTCTAGATTATTTTCAAAGGCAACCTTATGTATATAATATATAGCAGTTTACCATAATCTAAATAGATAGCAAAGAGGGTGTGACCTGCCATCTATTTTCCTTCTTCATCCACTTTCTTCTTCTTTGTTATTATGATGTATTATACTATACTTTCCATTTTGTTTAATTTTATTGTACATTGTCAAGAGTCAATTTGGAGTCAGGTGATCCCTAAATTGAAAAATTTAAATTATTGTTGCCAGAGCTTCATGGTCAAGGTGGTACTCATATATTTTATTTAATTAATTAATTAATTTATAGAAGTCTGTATCTCATCGGAAGTGACTCTGGGTGGTATACAACATTCAAAATCATGCTATAAAAAAATTGTTATAAACAATATAAGAATATAAACCTTCACTTAAATTTAAAAATATTAAAAGTTAAAAATTAATATATAACATGTCTATTTCTTAAGCTAGTATTTTTGGCTGAGACATCGGTAATAGGTCATTAAAAGGAAAAATTATATAACTTAATTCCTGTAATATCATGTAGGAATGCATTCTGTAACAAGTACAAATTATTATTTTTTTGGTTTGCAGACCATAAAAACTGGGAAAAAATTTTTTTGTTTATATTGTTTTTAATATGTATTAGTGATAATTCCTTCAGAAAAGATCTCTTTTTATAAGAATCCCTTTATAACTTGAAACTGGTTTCTATGTTAATCATAAACAGAAATAAACTTTTTCAATTTTGAATGAAGGAATCTCATACTGATTTGGAATTTTTGTTAGTATCCTAAATTTTTTTGTAACATATTTTCACCTTCTATTGTTTTGCTAATTTTTTTCTTCATTTATGTTTTTCTTTCTCTAACTTAGCAATAGGATGAAGCAGAAAAAGTATTTTAGATTCAGGGTGAACAAGCTCATTTCAGCTCCTTAAAGCAGTTGTGCATTTTCCTCAATTTATAAATGCCTAAACCAAATCCAAAGAATGTTTTGTGGTTTGGAATATTTTCTCTAAAGTTTCTTTGTGTAGTATACATTTAATAAGCAATTTTTAAACATAATATTGTGCAGCTGTAGTTTAAAAATTACAGAAAGTCCTCCAGTGAAAGAGCCGCTTCCCTTTCTCTAGGATAGTATTTCCCAGTATTTTTGAATTACAATGTTTAATGCTCCTGATGTAGCTTACGAGAATTGTAGTAAAAGTCATGGCGTTACATTACGGAAGTCTGCTCTAAGAAATAGTCTGTATTATATGTAATCATCTGACTGTGTAACATTTTATAACCAGATTAATTATTCAAGATTTCTTTTGAGACAAAAGATTCATGTAAATTTCTTAAAGCAAGAAGAAATTAGCATCAGACTTTTTCATGTTTATTTTCTGAAAGTACATATTATATTTTATACAAACTACATTGTCAGTTACACAAAGCACAGTGATAAGTTTCCTAGCTTGGAGATCTATCATTCAAATTTACATCACTGATTAGATTGGAAAATTGTTACCCAGTAATTCCAGAGGTAGAAGCATATGTAATATTATTATTTTACTTTTACAGTGGCACAGAAGATTGTTTCAACCAGGAAAAAACATCAGCTTTCAATAGGTCCTTGCAAATCTTTACCAAATTCTCCAAGCCACTCATCAATATGTTCAACCCAGGTCTCTGCAGTACATATTAGCCAGGTATGGAATTACATTCATTTATTTTACTGATAGGGTAAAATTTTACTGAAGATTGGGTATAAATACTTTTTGTGATTTTGACAATGGATATGAATGTTCACTTGTCCGTTGAATGGCTTGAACTGCTATACGTTACCTGATCTGAATTAATTATTTTGTAAGTGATTTATTTCTAAATTATTATCATTTAAAAAAAATCAGAAATATTCTCAAAGTGGGATACTTTGATTTTGCCTTGAGGTTCATTCAGTAGGTAAAACTGAGATATAGCAGAATGATTCCTAGAATTAAATGCAGTAATTTAAAAATACAATTTGATTAAAAGGATTTAATGCAACAGAAAGAGAAGAATTGTTGAACTCTATATGTTAAAAGGGTTCATAGTAGCTGCAAATCATAGAATTCTACAATTGGATCATTTTTGCCACTGAGTTCAGTGCTAGAATCCACCAGATTGAAACTTATACAATCTATTACTCTAACTCAAACCCATTATTCGGTATCCTTTATACATCATTTTTTTTTAATCATCCCTCCACCCTGCCCCAAATACCCTTTCTCAAGACTATTTATCCAGTCCATTCTATTTTTCAGAATCTTTCATAAAACATTTTGTCCACAATATTCAAGACAGGATCTAATAGAAAACTGAACAGTGGAATAATTATATGCTAAAGCAATGCAACAAAAGGTGTGGTAAAGAATAGAAATTATTGGACAGCCTCATGCTTTCTTTTTAAACTAATATCAGCTCTCTTTTTCCCCCTTAATTTCTGTCCTGTTCTGTTTCCCTTCTTAAGCCAATTGCCCCTATTAAACAATTACATCATCTTTTATATAAGCAAATAAGTTACCATTCACATAATAACAAATGTTCACGAAGTATGAAAAAGTACATTATTCTATGTAATCATATCATGAGCTGAAAAAGAGGCAAAAAAGCATTGACAACATGGTGGAATTCATGGAATCTTCCAGAATTTCACAACAGCCATCTACTGTAACTTATACATATTAACAAGGTATTATCCTTATTAATTAATATTTCTCATACATGTAGGGTTGCTTAACCCAACAACAATTACTTTTTCTGTTTTGAATTTTATAGTTTTGTTGATGTAGACAAAATTGCATTTTCCTTTTCTACAGCTATATTACACTGCTGGTTTATATTCATTTTTGCAATCAACTACTGTTTCAAATTTTATTATGTCCATCCAGCTATTTCCTTGGCCTATATTTATGCATTTGAATACTGTTCTTTAAAATTTCATTCTATTATTTTTGGCTAATTTCTCCAGCCGATAAAGATTGAGGGGTCCTTGGTGCTCTCTGAGCTTGCTTTTTTTTCTTGCAGACGTTTCATTACCCAAACCAGGTAACATCATCAGTGCTAGTAAGGAGTGCAGCTTGCTGTTAGTTTATATTCCAGTGGCTTGCCTGTCAGTGTTGGTGGGAGTGGTCTTACCATACAGATTCTTTGGACTGTTTGCTGTTGGCTTCTTTGGCAATGTCTTGATTGGGTATTCTTTACTTGACTGTTGGTTTGATATTAACTTTGGAGTTAATCTATGCTGATCTGTGTGCTGATTGCTGGCAGAAAAGTGCTTGGGTCTTTTTGCTCCTTTTTTGGCTGGGTGATAGCCTCTTTTGCATTGTCTATAGACATTGTCAATGTCTACATGTCTATTGATGGTTGATTGTCAGAGTGCAGACTTCTAGAAATTCCCTGACATTTTTGGTCTTGGATGGTCAAGGACGGTCACATTTTCCCAATTGAAGCTATGGTTAAATCTATATGTATGTTGTGAAATTAAAGAGTTTTCATCATATCTTCTGACTACTAGTTGGTGTTCATGGATGTGCTCTGCCAGTCTTCTGCCTATTTGTCCTACATAGTGGTTGTTGCAATCCTTATATTGCATACAGTGTAATACCCCAATCAAGAAATTGTCAAAGAAGCCAACAGCAAACAGCCCAACCAAAGAATCTCTAAGTCTACCTCTATCAACATTGGCAAGCCATTAGAATATAAACTGACAACAAAGTACACTCCTTTACTAGCACTGATGATGGTACCTAGTTTGGGTAATGAAACATCTGCAAGAAAACAAGCAAGCTCAGAGAGCACCAAGGATCTCTCATGTCAACCCTGAGCTACAGATATTTTCCATTATTAGTACTATAAAGATTGTTTTTAATATTATTTCTTACCCACCTAAAATCTGTATTTTTGATAAACATTCCCTCTCCTCTTCAACAAAATTGTTAATAAAAATAGTGAAGAGCTGAACATCCAAGATTATTTTTTATATCCTCTCTCCAGTATAATGTCAAATTAGCAAACGTTGCTTTTTGAACACAAATTTATGTTCCTACTTGCTTGTCATGCCATTAAACACACATGTAATTAAATTAGTATAATTACTCCTACTACTTTATCAAAGGCCTAGCTGAAATCAAGGTATATTAAGTCTGCAATATTCCCAAGAGGGCATTTTGCTGTAGTGTCTAAGGCACCAGGCTAGAAACAAATAGTGAGCTCATTGTACTTATGTACAAAACCAGTTGGGTGACCTTTGGCCGGTTACTCTCTCAGACCTAGGAAAAAAGCATGGGCAAAAACCTTCTGAAAATCTTGAATGAGTTCTTCAAGCTCAGTAAGGCATATGTAAAACATTCTCCATAGTGAATGCAACACTCTCTAGATTCTACTATTAAAGAAGTTTAATATTTGATGCAAGATAGTAATACATTGATCATACTCACAGAATTATAATAATATTGTAAGTATTAAAATTAAAAGTTATTAAAACTAATGGTACCCAGATCCCACACTGTTCATGTATTCAACATTTGTGTATATCTAAAAATTAAAAAACTTATATTTTTAAAAAATATTAATATTTATGGACCAAATATTTCACCTTGTTTCAGATAAATGCTCTATAGAGTCCTCAAAGGAAATAAAATGTAAACGGTAATGTTCCTGCTAACTGTATATTAACAATCATTGTAGAATAATGGATGTGAGTTACTGGAAAACAATGTCCTTCTATTATTTTTTTTTATGTAGCAGTTTGATAGAGGAGACAATTAACAGGGGGTAGTAGGCTCCTCTTTATAGGATGTGTTCAAATAGAAATGAGAAAGCCATAAGCTTCTATTTAGATTATTCTACTGATGGATGTGATGCCAAATAGCCCTGTCTAGTTCTATGAAGGCTTGAGGACTTTCTCTGTAATTTCCTCTTTCCTGTTTCTGTGTGTGGCATACAGTTTATCACTCTAACGATGTGAGAACTAATATGACTATATGAGAACTAATGTATGAACTAATATATGATTTATTGATGTATGTAGTGGTGAAGTAGCTTGTATGTCTCAGTGACACTATGAGCTATGCCTTTGGGAATGTGCACATTCCCAGAAGGGTCACTCATAAGGATCAGACCAAGGATGATGCAATGGAGAAGGAAATGGCATAAAAGACACAGAATAATTAAGATCAGATAGGACTGTGTATCCCCTTCCCCAAACACTAAAATAGAATGGGGCTGGGTCTGAGTGATTGCTGTTTACTGGACAATGTTATCTTATGGTGCTGGCAATTGTTTTTTGTATGCTGGTTTTATTGGGGGTTTTTGCCGTTGATGTGAGCTATCAAGACTTATGGCAATTAATAAATAAGTCATTCAGTTCTGGGATTATACAGGTAATCCCCGGGTTACAAGCGTTCCCTTAGTGAATGTTTGAAGTTACGCGATAAGTGACACTTATTATCCAATAAGTTATCCACTTATTATCCATAATTTTATCCAAAATTATGTCTATTGCAGCCTTATGGCATTTGTTCACTGTTATGAATGACCACAGAGGCTCTGCAACATTCGCCCCACCTATTTCCCCAACTCATCCCAGCTGGGTCTTCACAGGCATTTTGTCTCTGGAGACTCACTTACCTTGTGAAGATCTCCTCTCTGTTATGGTATCTTTGCCTGCTTCATTGCTTCAGGCTTTCAGTGCATTTGCAGAGAACAGAGGCCTAACATAACGCGAGATCATGCAAGATCAGTAGCGCGAGATCTCATGCTACTGATTTCGTAGCATGCTACTGATCTCGCACTTTAGGCTTCTATTCTCTGAATGGAGGCCTGGACATTTGCAAACAGGCTTTGGTCCTTGAGGCCTTCCCTCCGTTTGCCATTCCCTTGCTGAAGCCTGCAAGGAGATTGCGTTCCTGTAGGCCAGGGGTCTTCAAACTTGACAGCTTTAAGACTTGTGGACTTCAACTCCTAGAATTCCTCCTCCAGTCATGTTAGCTCAGGAATTCTGGGAGTTGAAGTCCACAAGTCTTAAACTTCCCAAGTTTGAATACCCTTGCTGTAGGCTCTGGCAGCCTTTTGCAAAAAGCCTTTGTTGGCACCAGGTACAAATCTCAAGGTATGAGATTCACTCCCACAAATCCTTGGGTTACAAATGGAATGGGCAGCCTCCATTCCATTTGTAACTCGAGGACTACCTGTAATTGAGTGCTGACTTCAACATGCTATTGTCCACAGTAACGTGCTTTTTGTCTACAGAAGAAGAAAATTGTCCATTTTCTGATGTGAAGTAATCCATTTTAGGCAATTTCCATTTGCAGATTCTAAGAATATCAATACTTCAGTTTGGGCATTTTTATGTTAACAACATGAAGTTTAGTTCACAGTTCTGACATTCCATGTACCAATGGTATACATGTATCTGCTATGTCAGGATTTGTTTTATCTTTGGCCACATGTGATCTTACATGGAATAGAAGGAAAGGAAAAGAAATGTGACAATTAACTTTTTAAGAGGAATATAGACTTAAACAATCTTGGCATAAAGATTGCCTATTAATTTTAAGAATTTAGTGAAGGAGACCAATGTTTTCTCTATAAAGAAATTCCTTTTTTTTTTAAAAACAAATGACACGCAAATTTGAAATAAAAAAAATAAAAGAAAAAAAAGAAAAAAAAGAAATTCTATATATATTTAAAAATCTTGTGTTGTAGTAGGAGATACAATCAAGAAATTGATTTTCTTTCTGCTAAAATTAATTTTAATCATTGCAGACCAGTAATGGAGGAGGGAGTTTAAGTGATTATTCTTCCTCTGTCCCGTCTACTCCAAGCACCAGTCAGAAGGAACTACGAATTGATGTGCCACCTACTACTAATACTCCAACACCTGTTCGTAAGCACTCCAAGCGCCGGTCCAACCTTTTCACAGTGAGTTGACAAAAATATATTTGATTTCTATTACCACTGATTTCAACAAGTGATTCTGTTTATTTGATCATGTTTCTCTAAACAATTAATCAATAAGCTAACTTCAAAAACCATCTTTGAAAGTTGATTTCTCCTTCCCTGTAGTTGAGAATAACCTCAATTTGGATGTATCTAAATTCATTCTTTCTTATTTTGTATAATCTTTACCATGGTTCTGGGATGCACTGAAATCTATATAGAGTGAGGGAAAACAGTAGTCAATTCATACTTCTATCACAGCTAAATTCATATTTTGTGGTACATATTCTACCTTTGAAGTAACATAATATTGTTTTTAGGAATAGCAGCACTTGGCCCCATTGGATAAGATAAGAAGAAGGATTGGATGCCAGATATTACAGATTGGGGATCAGATTTTTAAATATTGTTAATTCTTTGATCTATTTAACCAAATTACACTTCTACTATTCTTTTCTATGGGAGGCAGTGCTCTGTGTCTCCACACTTCTCTGCAAACCAAGTCAATTATTTTAAGTAGAACCCATTGGGACAAAAACAATTAACATGGTTTGACATCTTCTAAGGTGATCCCTGCTTTTTTTTTTTTTTTGTTTCACATGTGGCTTAAACCTGCAGACCTGATTATGGAAATGCAGACATGACGGAGAATTTTGATATAAAAAAGGCACTAGGCAGGAATGTCCACTGTCCCCTCTGCTAATTATACTGACTAAGGAAGTATTAGCCAAAAATATTTGGCAAGATGAAGAAATAAAAGGAATGGAAATAAAAATAGAGAAATACTAGTTACAGGCATTTGCAAATGACGTGGTCTTTATATTAGAAGACTCCTGAGAAACTGGGCCAAAGTTAATTAAAAAGGTAGAAGAGTATGGGGAATTTGCTGGATTGAAAATAAATAAAGACAAGACAAAGATTTTAGTTAAAAATCTCACAGATACACAAAAAAGAGCGTTGATGGAAAGAATTGATATGCAGATAGTCAAAAAAGTGAAGTACTTAGGAATATAGCTAACAGCAAAATGTGCAATAATTAAAGAGGATAATTATATGAAACTGCCGCAACAAATTAAACTAGATTTGGAGAAATGGAAAGATTTGCAACTGTCATTAACAAGACGAATAGCTACCATAAAAATAATATTCTACCAAGGCTATTATATTTATTCCAAACAATTCCAATAAAAATGGGAAAAATATTTTGAGGAATTAAAAAAATGATCTTAACATATATCTGGCTAGGAAAAAAAGCAAGAATAGGTTTGAAAATGTTGCAAGACTCCAAAAAAAGAGGGAGCTTTTTGCTGCCAGATTGGGAATTGTACTGCTAGGCCTCAGTACTTACTTGGGTGAAATAATTGATTAATTTGAGGCATAAAAGACTACTAACTTTAGAAGGACATGACCGTCAACTAGATTGGCATGCTTTTTTATGGTATGGGAAGAATAAGATATATAGTTATTTTCAAAGATATTATATTAGAAACGCATTGTTATCAATATGGCTTAAAATTAAAGAACAACATTACTTGAAAATACCAGTCTGGCTTTCCACAATGGAAGCATTGATACATCCTAATGTTATTAATATGGAAAAAATTGTAAGATATAAAGATATTTTGAATGAAAAAGGGGGATTAAAAACCAAACAGGAACTTAGTAATCAAGGGATAGACATTACATGGTGGCCACAAATGCAGACACAATCTCGATATGAGAAAGATGCTAAAATGTATGTTTTTAATAAAGAATTAACAGAATTGGATCAGATATTAACTGGAACCGATGAAAAATTGATAAAGAAAATATATTGTTATTACTAGGTATTAAACATGAAAGTGAGCAGGTAAAGGAGACAATGATTGTTTGGGCTAAAAGTTTTGGATATGCAATAGAATTAGACAAATGGCAGAAACTGGGATAGAAATGTTAAATTGAATATGTCAACTGCATATAAAGAAAATTTGATAAAATGTTCCATAGATGGCATTTTGCACCAACAAGATATGGATAAGGATAGATCTGCTAAATGTTGGAAATGTAATCAAACACCTGGTTCATATTACCATATCTGGTGAACATGTCTACAAGTTAAAAAATATTGGATGAAAATACATACCTGGTTGGGAAAAATGATAAAACAGCATATAGACATGAAACCAGAAATATTTTTATTGGGCATTCTGCCAGAAAAATATGATTAAGAGACTATATACTTGATTTTAAATGTACTAACTGCAGCTAGAATTGTATATGCTCAACAGTGGAAATGTGATGAGATCCCAACAGATGAGAATGTAATTAAGAAAATACTAGAATGTGCAGAAATGGACATAATGCTTACTATTAAGGACAAAGAAGGAACTAAATACTTTTTGACATGGGACTCATTTTATCGATGGCTAGACAATAAAAACAGAAGTTAGAAAGAAAGAGACATAAAAAGGATAAATGTTAAAATGGAAATTTGTTAATATGAACAAACTAAATATTATTGTTATCACAGTATTAATGTTATTGTGATAAATGTTATTGTAAACATCCTGATTATGATAGCATAAAAATAATTGTACCCAGACAACACACTGTTTGTTTGAACTGCACTTTTTATATAGTATATTATACTAATATAGCAAATAAAACTTTTTTAAAAAGGAAAACTCATTGAGGACCTTTTAGCTGAGTATGTGTTGAGAATTTCTAGAGAAATATTAATTGGTTTTGAGCATTTCTAGCGAAAGAATTAACGGTGTGCCTAGGATAAAGCTCTAACAGAATGTGGTATAAATGATCCAGATAAGAACTTTAAAATACCTCTTGAATTTGGGAAGAACCAATTTCCTAGTACACATGGAAAAAGATACAAGTATGACTATTAGCTGTAAATAGCATTTTTTTTACAGACTACATTGTTACATGTGTCCAGAAAACTCAATATTGGTTTGCTAATTTTGCCTGCATCTCAGCTAAATTTGGGACTGCCTGACCTGGGAAAATCTGCAGTTTGCAGTCTTCTCCACTTGTAGATAATTTTCCAGTTTCTCAATGATTCATGTCCATTTATTTGGCAATCCTTTTGAATCCCTTCTCAGTTTATAAACTTCTTTCTGAAGGCCTCAGAGAGCTAGGCTTGATACAACACACATCGACAATAAAGAGCACATCCAACTAAATATTTGAGGTTTTGATAAGTTATTCAGTTCCTATCTAATAATGTTTTAATCATATATCTGGTGCATTGGATTCTAATTGTTAAGTATTTGAATTAGTAATCAATATAGGGGGTATTTACTTTTCCTGCATGAGAAACTTGCATTTATATTTATTTTAGTTGCACAATGTAAAATAGTGCATTTATTTTTTACATATTATCCACTTTTTCAGTATTGATGAAATGAAAGCTAAATATTGTTTGTCGAAATATGTGGAAAAAGTCAAACATTTTAATGGGGTGCACTTAGTTTTTCATACGATTGCATAAATAAATGGTTATCCAAAAGTCTATTAGATTTCAGAAGAGAAAACTTTCTAAAATTGAGGAGCTTGATTAAAAAAAATAGAAGAAAAGAGGTAATACATTGAAGCAATATTTATTTGCTATGTAATTTTACCTTAATCCACTAGATGTCAGTGAAAGTCAAAGAATATAGCATAAGTGAGGCAAACTGGAAAAGGATGGCATTTAAAACTATACTTTTTATTCAGACTTGTTTAGGAACTTTTGGAAATAATGTTCAGTATTTCATGGGGTTTCAATGAAGAGAAAATTAGGCGAGAGACATGGATTCTTTTAAACAATTTTCTGTCTATAATGCAGCATATTGGTTTTGCAGAGATGCTGTTAATTTTCGTAACTAAATTTTGTAGTTCTAAGAAAAACAAATACAGTAAAATGAGGTACATTTGAAATAATAGTAGACATCAGAAAATAAGACATTGGGTTTTTGTACTAAAGTGAAACATCAAGGTTCTGTTTAACATATTATAAGAAAATATTATCATAGTCATTATTCTTTTATTTGAATAAAAATATTTTAGCGCAGCAAGGAAGTAAAACTGAGAGGAAATTTTACAAAAAAATCTGTTTTCTGGCTTACTCGTTTCTTGCCAGCAATACCAGAATTGTCAAGGGTTTCAAAATTTCAGTCTTTTGCATTGGCAAGTAAACTAGTATTAACCTAATATATCATCACTGTTTATGGATTCTTGGGAAATAATATTTCTTAATACTTCTTTTTTGTTTATATAGTTTTGGAAAGTCATTGGTTTGGAAGATCAAGAAGTGGCATAATTTTCTTAATTAATATTCACTTTCCTTCTGAAAAACTAACAAAAATTAAATTGTGACTAAGTAATTTAAACAATTCATACAACACAGCATTGTGTAGACTAGAGGAATTTAGAAATAACCATGGTATGAAATAACTGTTAAGGAGGGATTGGGTGAATAATAATACAGTAAAGAGATTGAGTTGGAGGGTGAGAAATGACCACAGAATAACCCCACCTTGACTGTATTAGTGTAGTATAGGACAGGGAGAAGGTTGGATAACATTCAGGATTATATTGCTTTACCTTACTCTAACAAAGCAATATTCCTGGAATCATTGTGGTGTCTGTCTCTCTTGTAAACCTACTTTGAAGGGCTGATGCATTTAATAGTATAATAATAATAATAATAATAATAATAATAATAATAATAATAATAAT